ATTTCAGACAGTTTGTAGATTTCGCGTTTGTGTTGGACGCTGTGAAACACCCTGAAATCAGCGTAGATGACGTCGACTCTACCATTCTCGTCCAGTGCGCAAGTCCATTTGCTCGATAGAGAATAATAAACCGAAAAGGCATGAACGGTTCTCTCTGAAGGTCTGCTGAAGTTCTGAGAGTAAGTGGTTCTCCTCCAGGAACTACATTGTTGCTTAGGCGTTTAGGACGGAAGGTATCGTGAATGGCACGCCACATTTTTGAACTTTTATTTAAAAGCGAAGACACAACTGAAGTCTCTTGTTACCAATGAAAGTAGTGTGGCCTGTCTTAGTATAGAGGACAGTGGCGATTCTCTGTATTTCCACCTCCTGTTGGAACTAGTCTTCGAAGCACATATACACAGGCTTTGTCAGAACTGAAATAAATGGCGAAAACCGATTAATGTTTACTACAAGGAGAAGTAGAGGAATGCGGTAACATCAATTTAGATATTTCGTCAAACCAGTCTGGTAGGAAGCTGTGTTCAGACTAACTTTAAACACAGGGGACATGTGAATATCCGTAAATACAACCATAAAATATCTTTTGATGTAATATGTCTTTAAAATGTCTGATAATTATTAAAATCGAAACTAGAGCCAGATTTGCATACAACAATATTAATACGTGTTTTTCAAAATTCGGGGATGAAATAATTTCGTTAAAGACTGAGAAGACCGTGCTTAAACAGGGGGAAGTTCCCTCAGTCGATTTGCGCGATGGTCTCAGATGTTATCAGTTCCAGATGAATGTTAGTAAATTGAATTTCCTTCCTCCAGAATAATCAGCCAAAATATTACTGACGGTGAGGAAAACAACAAACCGGACGGAGTAATGGAGGTAGCTGGACCATTTCTATAGGCAGTTCTGTTAGCAAGTAAGAGACTGATCAATGTGCAATTTCCCGCCCCATTCTAATGAGTGCTATATTATCGTCAACCAAACGAGTAGGAAACGGGAAGACTTCATACACCATCCAAGAAGAAATCTCTGTGACAATAAACAACGTGTTCCGGTGCTCGACTCTTCTTCTTCACTTACACAAATATCTGTGATCCTTATACATTAGGTAGACTTTTCTTCTATTTCACGCAAAAACGGCAGCAGATTCTATCTAATTTCTCAAGACATTTGCCACCATCACAAGAGGTTTCGTGACCACCCTATCTCGACTAGTCTTGACCCCCCGCGAAAGCCAAAATCTCTTCCTCAAAATCCCCGATATAGACGACCGACGACTATAAACAACTTTTTTTAGAAGTGCAGAATATCTTGGCACTCGCTTCTAGCTCCCCTTCGGTTGTTACATTATCCAAACAACTGAACGGTTCGTGGACAAGCAAGGATTCGCCTAGTCCTCCAAATCCACTTCCACCTTCCACGGTTTCCCTAGTGTCTTTACTCTCGCACTTAAGGTTCGAGTTTGCAAAACGCCATCATAAGTAACCATCAGGTACCTTCTCCAAACTGAACTCACGGTTTGGCCATGTTCATCAGAATGCAGTGGGCCCCATTTCTCTATTCATTTGCTACACTCACACTCCTACTTGCGCCGACCGGTATACACGATAGACAGAGTGCATCCCTTTTTAATGTGGCGACAGATACCACCGTTAAGGCCTTCGTCAGACGTTGAATTGCCATCCTCGGGGCCTCGAGCCTCGACTAACGGATGTGCCCGGCTCTAGCACGCCTTTTAGGAAGCCTCCTCACATTTCTATATCGTACATGCATTCTCGCAAAGGCCTATTACCCATCAACAAACGGCATGGTCGAGCGTTTCCACCGCCATCTAAAAACGGCTATGCGTGGCACAGAGGGTCTAACGAACTGGTTTGGATCATCTGGGTTTGACAATTATTGAAAATCACGTAGCGCAGGATTTGGGCTTGGACTGCGGCGCAGTCGGATCGCTGTCCGGCACCATTGTCCGACTGCCAGATGAGACGGTTACCCCAATTTCCCGCGGTACCGACGAGAGTCCTAGCCATCACATGCATCATCCGTGAAATTGGTGTGCCTGCTGTGTCCTATTCCGCCGCGAACACCACTGCATGTAAGCCGACGGAATCGCCAGATGGGGAAAAATCCCAGGCACCCTCATGCGATAGAAAGACCGGCGGGATACTTCGCGGCGACAATAAGGGCGTGGTCGGCGTCGATTTAGTCAAGGCTGCAATCTTGGAGGAACCACCGGGCACTACTCAATGAAAAACATGAGTTGACCCCTTAAGTCTTGCTCCTCCGTGTATCCACCATGTCCTACTTCTCTTTTTTCCACCCCCATTAATTCTGATTGTATATATTTAAATAACACTTACGTTCGCGCCACTCTTATCTGCCGTCTAATGTGCTTCCGCGATTGTCTTAAAACTTATTTGGACTGACGAGGTATTTATACGTAAGATCTATTGTTGCGTAGACTTTTGATATAGACGTGGATTGTAGTAAAGGCCCATTGTTATCGTCGTCGGCACGACCGCTTTACCATGCCGACTTCGGTCTGCCCAGCACGTCAGTCGATCACTGCCTGCATGCGGGTGACTCAGCCATCGATTAGTTTACACTGTGACGCCGATCGACATTTCTGTCTTGATAGGTTGATCGTAACTGCATAAATCTCGGGCACAGACACAAAATCTGCGTCCTGACAAACAACTAAGGCGACTGGCGAGAACACCACTTCCTCTGCCAGCTGAGTCGATTGTACGCAATATCGCCCCTTCTGATTTGGGGATCGCGAGTTGCCGACCGTCTCATATAGATAAAGTAACATCGAAAATTCTTGTGTAGTTCGGTAGAAGTACCCACGTGGCCATAAAAGTCTGATATGCCCATTTTATCTAGTATCTGAGGAGAGAGAAGTGCTCACCGGATCGAGGGACTTGTTTGACTGACGTTTCGATGAGTTTGGGCGGCTCTCCATTATCAAAGCATTTAGTGCAAAAATCTATCAGAATTTTGAATAGACAGCCGAATTAGTTGACCTTGGGCTGAATGTTTTTTTCTTTTTTCGCTGGCTTGGCCTACTGGCCGTCGCTTGTGAGTGTTGGTGGCTTTGCGTATTGTGTGTCGTCACCTCAATCGGGGTTAGTTGCGTTTGCGTCCCCCTTTTGGGTGAATTGATCGACAGACCGTGTTTGCTCCGTATTCTTAGGCTCCGGATGACTGTCTTGTCTTCTTCACGGCGTATGTAGTGACGTAGCATTTTATGGGCCGAAGGAAGGGCTAGATGCCTGTTGAGGGAGTTGGCATCTGAGTACCAAGCCTCAAGTGTTAGACGTTCTGTCCTTGAAGTGCCCTTGCCTAAGACGGCTGCTCCTTGAAAATCAAAACTGTGACCAGTTTCCCCGATGTGAGCCGCAAGCCGTGAGTTTGAATCTATTCTCCGAGTCATCAGTTTGTGCTCATTTAGGCGGGTCTGCAATTTCCGTCTGGTTTGCCCAACGTACTTGCAGTCTCCATTGTTACAACGTATGTTATAGACAACTGCTGAGGTTTCAGTGGCTGGCGGTATGTCTTTGGGTCGCATCAAACAGCGACGAATTGTTGTCTGGGGTCGATGGGCAATGCCTACCCTGGCAGGTTCTAAAAGTCGTGAAACCGCCGCGAAGACTCCATTAATGTAAGGAATAGCCCTTCAGAGTTCGGGTTGTTCTTCTTGTGGCCATCGTCTGTTCAGTCGGCGCTTGCTTTGCTTGATGAAGTAGCTTGGGTATCCATTGGTTCGAAAGAGGTCATGAAGGTATTGTATTTCAACTCTTTTATCGGCTGGTGTGCTGCAGCGTGTTTCAATCGTTGGAATAGAGTACGGACACAGCTGCGTTTGTGAGATAGGGAGTGATTGCTGTTGAAGCGTAGTATTTGTCTTGTGTTGGTGGTTTTTCTGAAAACGGTTGTTTGTAATTTCGCAGTTGCACACCGACGCACAAGGTCATCGAGGAAGGAGAGTTGGTTGCTTGTTTCGGCTCCCATCGTGAATTGGATATTCGGGCCAACCGAGTTCAGTAACTCCTTAAGGTGCTCCACGTCAGATGATTTGAAAATAGCGAAGGTGTCATCGACATAACGAGCCCAGAACTTTGGTTGATATCAAGAGTTCTATCCGTTGAAGGACCACTTCAGCAATCAGCCCTGATATGGAGAGCCCATAGGGGTGCTTTGATTTGTTCATACATTTTTCCACCAAAGGTGAAATATAGATAGATAGATAATTTTTTATTAAAGACCCCTCGGGGTCCCATCAAAGCAAGTTAAAATAAATGTACATGCGAGTTTTAGACGAGGTAGGTCGAATCATTACAAAATGCAATTCATAGTTTCTGAATTAGTAGTCCATTGAGAAACATGAGGATTGAGGGGTGAAAAAAACTCCTTACAAAAAGTTAAAAATGATTGGATTAATTTTACAGGAGAAAAAACCCCTCTTTAAATATAATAACAGAAAAAAAGCGAGCAGGAATGGCCTGTAGGTGGCGGTATAAAACTGAATGTTGTCGGTCATCGTCAGGGTAGCAATAAATCTCAGCCTTGAGGGGTACGTATGCGGGTCAGACAAGACTGGCCTGCATGTGGTATTGTATACGGGATTCAGAACTGACATCGTCTGGACCGGATTGATACGCCGCATGAGATTATTCACGTCCAAGAGGCCAGACGAGAGGAACCTAGACGCGATCGGCCACAGCACGCTTCCAGCCCAGGCGAGGAGTGGGGAAGGGAGATACGACCAAACTACTGGTAGATGGCGAATACTGAGGGTTCCGCCGTGAGCGTCGACAGACCGCATGAGGTCGGAATGCGGGAGATGACATCAAAAACCGCGAAAATTGTCGCTATGGGGGAGGAGTGATAGCAGTGGATTTAGAAATCTATTCAAAAACCAGGATACCAGCTGTTTAGAAGAGACAGGTCAGGACGTCAGGGCGGAGGCGTACTCAAGTATGTAAAACACGGGCTTATGGTCTCAGACAAAACAGATAAACTTTCGTGTACTTCTGAGGCTATTTGGCTAACTATAAAAGCACCGTGTTCACCGAGCCTTGACATCCTGACGGTCTACCGACCGCCGAGAAATGATCCCACATCGGACGCCCCTCTGATTGAGGACCTGGAGAGATTCTCTATCCGGTCCAAAGTCTTAATCATGGGGGACTTCAACGCACCTCTTATCGACTGGAGTTCAGCTTATGCATCTGGTCCAGACCATGCTTTCGACCGACGTTTGCTGGACATGACCTTCAAGTTATTTCTCACTCAGCACGTCTCTTTTCCGACGAGGGTGCGCGAAGGGCAACAGTCAAACTGTCTGGATCTGCTCCTTACGAAGTCACTGGACAGCGTTGATGAGGTGCAATGTCTACCCCCCCTAGGTCGAAGCGATCACGTCGTACTGTTGTGGGAGTACTCCATTTTTTCTCTGCCCGAACAGGCCACCAGGGTTAGAAGGAACATTTGGCGCGGTGACTTTGCCCAAATGAAAGCTGAACTAAACACCATAAACTGGGAATCAGCTTTTTCCGGTGACATAATCAAGGATTGGGACTGGTTTAGTGAGTTACTGCACGTTCTTCTCAGAGACCACTGCCCTATTTCACGGAAGAAACTAAACTGCAGACCCCCGTGGCTAACACAAGCTTTAAAAAAAGGAGTGAATAAAAAGGGGAGGTTATGGAGGAAATTCCTCTCGGATAGGAGCTATGTGTCGTTAGATGCATACAAAGCACAGAGGAACCTAGTTAGTAGGTTAATCCTCGGGACGCGGCGTACTTCTGAGAAAGACCTACTAAATCGAGCCACAGAAAATCCGAAGTTGTTCTATGGTTACATAAGAAGAAGCACACGAAACAGAGACCCAATCCCGTTTTTGAAAACTAGTGACGACCTGGAACTCAGTGAAGACGGAGAAAAGGCAGAGCACCTTTCACAGTTCTTTAAGTCCATCTTTACGAAGGAAAGCGCATTTCTCCCTCCCGACTGCGACATAGTGGACGGGCCAACGATTGAGCACGCCTCTTTCGCCGAAGCTATTGTTCGCAAAGAACTGTTGAAGTTGAATGAGTCTAAATCACCTGGGCCGGATGACATACCGCCCAAATTGTTGAAGGAACTTGCTGGAGAACTATCCAAGCCGCTGTCCATGCTCTTCCAAGCTTCGTTCGAAGCAGGCTATTTGCCCTCCGATTGGAAATCAGCGCGGATCACGCCAATTTATAAGGGCGGCAGCAAGGTCTTAGCAAACAACTACAGACCAATCAGCCTTACTTCAATTTGCTGCAAAATTATGGAGAAAATAGTAAAGCGAGAAATAATGCACTTCCTAGAAGAGCATAATCTGCTATGCGATGCCCAGCACGGATTTCGTAGAGGCAGATCATGCGTGACGAATCTACTATATTGTTTAGATCGCTGGACCCGGGCAGTCGATGGCAGCAATGCAGTGCACGCAGTCTACGTCAAAATTTCTTGATCGGTCGCTCTCAAATCGTCCACGTCGGTGACAGGCAGTCGGCGGAGGTAGCGGTTGAAAGCGGTGTTCCACAAGGCTCCGTTCTTGGCCCTACCCTATTCATTATATACGTCAACGACTGCGTCAGTGAACTGAATTGTGATGTCGCCATGTTCGCTGATGATGTTAAACTTTGGAGCGTCATCTGAACTGAATTTAACGAAGAGCGCTTGCAGGCAGACCTGACCCGACTCGAGAAATGGTCACAGGACTGGCTGTTGCCGTTTAATGTGACTAAGTGTAATGTCCTGCGAGTCGGCAGGACCCGATCTCTGAGCCGGAGGGTTTACCACCTAAACGGCGTACCATTGCAGGAGGTAGACGCCCAGAAAGACTTGGGGGTGTGGGTAACGGCTTCTCTAAAACCGTCGCTTCACTGCTCTAAGGTAGCCAAGTCTGCGATGTCAGTCCTTTATCTTGTTAAGAGAGCTTTCTCTACCTTCGATGAGGACTGCTTCATTAAAGTCTTTCGGACTTTCTTACGGCCACAGCTAGAGTTCGCTATTCAGGCGTGGAAACCGTGGACCTCTAAAGATCTCAGCATACTTGAGAAAGTTCAGAGGCGGGCAACCAAACTCGAAAGTGGACAGGGTTCACTACCCTATGAAACCCGATTGTCCAATCTCGGCCTCTTTCCACTGAGTTACAGACAGCTAAGAGGCGACCTTATAAAAGCATTCCGTATACTGCGCGGCCAGGACTGCTGTCTCGCACCTACTGATTTCTTTGAGTTAGCGACCACAACGAACCTACGAGGTCATCCACTTAAACTACGCGTAACTGAAGCCAAGCTGGACACTCGGAAGTTCTTCTTTTCAAACAGAGTGATCGAGGCCTGGAATGCTCTGCCTGCAGGTGTCGTCATGTCCACCTCCGTCGAGGCTTTTAAGCGCAACTTGGACCAGATTGCCACCAATCGTCATAATGCCACCTGACAGATTGTCTAGCATTTCGTTCGAACAGTTTATTAATGTTGTTATATTACTTCCTGTATTTCAGTAACGTTTGTTTTTTAATATTGTCCCATGTCTGTTGAATGTGTGTTGGCATTCAATTCGTCTCCCTCCGAAACTGAGATAGCACCAACAATCCCTAGACAGACTACGGTACAGCACATTTAGTAACGTTTATGTTTTTAACTCTTGGAACAATTCGTTTATCTGTCTGGCTTACAAAACGTTGCCAATCTGCGAAACTCTGTAGCCGTTTGATGTTTCTATTTTCAAATTTTTTTATTGTTCGCCTCCTTGTAACAAATAGGGAGTTCAAAGGTTTAACACCTATATTTCCCCTCAAATAAACTGAAGGGGTGTATAATGATATAATTAAGAGTTACCACTTAAACTACCACTAAATCCCAGGAGGACCATTCTGGAAGCCAAGAATCTGAGTGTTCGTGAATGAGACCGTTACCAGTGCCTTTATGCTTTCCGGTGTGAGATGTTGGCGTAATTTCGACTTGAATACCAGTAACTTAGGCGATAATCTAATTTCAGGCGGAAGATTATTCCAAAAGAAAGCATATTTCGAAGCAAAGAAGAGGGAGCGCTTAGATGTAGTACAAAGAGGCGGCGGAATCACCATGCAGGAGTTGCGCGTGGCATAAGACTGATCTCTCGGAGTGAGAGTGTCAATGAGCGGAAGACTGGAGCTAGAGTTGATGCGACAGAGGAAGCAAAGGCCAGCTTCGAGTCTTCTAACCCACAAAAACTAAATGTTCGCCAGCTGACATCTCTGACTATAAGAAATACTGGACGAAGCTTGAGAGAACAGTTTCCGGGTAAAAACCCTCTGAACATTTTCGATTTTATTACGGTCGCAGGCGTTCATTAAACCGAAGAAAGGACAGCAGTATTCGAGGGCTGGAAGAACAAACATTTGATAAAGTCTTAGCTTCATTTCCGGAAGGAAAAAATTATGCGATATGAATTCACATATCTGCGCGGCTTTGGCAGAGATTCTGTCTGCATGAGGTAATAAAGCAAGCTTATTTGTATAACTTAGACCTAGGTCCATTATGGTGAGGCATTCTGAGAGTGGGTTATTCTGAAAAATTATGGGACCAGGAAGTTTGGCAGGACCAAAAGGCATGAAACTACACTTGGATGATGAAAACTCCATCAGCCATGTCGAACCCCATCTGCTTAAGCGTAGTAAATCGGCATTTATTTTTTCAAAACAAACATTTGCGGTGTCCCTCGAATATAAGGAAACACACTTGAGGTCATCGGCATAAGTAAAAGTTTGCGAATTTCCGAGTTCAGTCGAAATATCATTGATGTACAGAAGGAAGAGTAGCGGACCCAGGACCGTGCCTTGAAGTACGCCACTCGTGATCGAGTGAGGTGTCGAGTAGCTATTACCGACCATGACTTTCTGATATCGGTTGGACACGCCCCGATAGTTATTAACATCGGACCGAGATCCTGACTTGAAAACGGGAATGATAATTGAAGTTTTCCATGTTTCAGGAAAGAATCCTTTTGAAATATAAACCTAGAATAAATGACTAAGCAATATGGGAAGGTCGGACGCTTGTTTAATAATCGAATTCGGAATCCCGTCCGTTCCTGAGCAGTGTGAGTATTTAAAACGGCTTATGTGTTTCTTAATGAGATCTGAGGAGACATCAATTGTACTCAGTGTCCTATCTGGAAGTGGTCGAAAGAAAGGGACCGGATCGGACTCGGTAACCATGTGTTTTGCAAAGAAAGCACTAAATATGTTTTTATGCAATACCGTTAGTGCTCCATGAGATGTTCGGTCTTCAGGGGATTGTCTCTCTCGTTGAAGCGATCAGCCACGATTTGTCTCACAACGTCAATCGCTTGTTGTTGTTGTGAAATGGAGGTGAAGAGTGAAACGACATCAAATATACAATAGATTCCTCTGACTCAAGTTTCAGATATTTTAAAAGTTAAGGGAACTGATAAGCAGAAGCCACTGTTGTTGTCGATCATTCTGCCAGGAACCTAAGACGAGCAAACATCCATTTTGCCAAACCGTATGTAGGAGTACCACATAGGGAGACGATGGGCCTAAGAGGTATGTTCGCTTTGTGTACCTTCGCAGACCATTAAGCCGCGCGGTGGCAGAGTCAAGGGGTTTCATAAGAAAACAGAGCCAGATGGATCCATGGTATCTTTTGATGTCGTTTCACTCTTCATCCTCCATTCCAAGGATATGCTCGCATTTAAAGTTGCTGTTATGAAAGTCGACGAGCCCGATCAACTTTCCGTCTCTCAGGGGTGGGTGGGGATGGGCGATAATGAGACGGAAGTTCCGGATGAAAAGAAAAGTAGTGATGCCCCCTTCGCTGAATCTCCAAAGTTGTCAAACCAGAGTCGGAGGACAGGCCGGAAGCTACTCTGAATTCCGAAAACACCAAAGATGTGACGCCCTCAGATTTCGAGGTGAAGAAAGAGCAGCCGGAGAGTCAGTTAAATGTCGAATCGATGGAGGCGTTTGTAACCACTGAGGATGACGACGACATTCCTAATCCTACTACCGCTGCGACACCTGAGGGCAGTCCTGCTAATGCTGCTGACAGAGTATCCAACGTTAAGTCAACTCTAGCTCCCGCGGCCGAGATTCTGGGTTTGCCTGCAGATGACAGGCCTTCAACCTTTTCAAGACAAGATTCGTTAAATGTGGGCCCAGGTTGTCAGGAGAATCAGGTCTAGAATAAGAAACATGTCCGATGGAATCTACACAAGACGGCGTCCGTGTTTTTCCGCTGTTTGCCACCAACAGTCACAAAGAAGGAACTATAGGAGCTTTGTTCTTCGCAACCCGGCTTTCTTCGTTTGGCTATCTACGATCCGATGCCTGAACGCGGTTTTACACGCCACGCCTGGGCGACATACAATCCCGATGTGAACAGTAAAAAATTTGCTGGGCCCTCAACACTTGTCCACTTCTTCGAGACAAATAGCAGTGCTCTTCAGGCGCCTCAGGCGAACTCTGCGCCACCGTAAACCGTGAACTGGCCAACGTGTGCGACCCGTCAGTCCTATAACTCGCCAAAAACCAGTAATGCGCAAAGACCTCTTGCCTGCTTCTCGTTTGAGTGCAGAACTAGACGCCAAACTCAACCTCTGGCCCTTACCAGAGTCGGAGGAATCTGAACACGAGGGTGGAGAAAACGCATCGTCCGTAGACGTTGAGAAACCACAGGCTGTTACGAACGCATGCCCTGTTCCTGGCCTTCCAGGACTCTGCAGCGCCAACCCCCTCATGTGCAATCTCACAGACTACCTTATTGACGAAGCTGGCTTAGAAATGGCAATGTTGATGGCTGATGCTACCACCTACGAGAACAATTCTGAAGCCGCCAGCGACCATGAGGGGATCGCCGAGTCGGCAGACACGCTCGCTACCGTCCCAGTAGAGACTGATCCCTCTCTAGTGCGGGCGCTCGATCGTTTGTTGCTATATCTTCGCTTAAGCGATTGACGTTGTGAGACAGCTCCTGGCTGATCGCTACGAGTGGGACAATCCCCTTGGATCGATCCAACTAATTCGGCTGTGTATCCAAAATTGTGATCGATTTTTGCACTGGACGCGTTGATGATGGAGAGTCACCCCAGCTCTTCAAAACGTCAGTCAAACAAGTCCCTCGATTCGGTGAGCATTGCCCTTTCCTTAGATTATCAACCCGGATCTCTTACTTTTGCTTACCTGATATCAAGTATCTCATGCTCAACACTAGCGTCGTTTTTCTTATACGTCTACTTTGCTTTTGTTTTGCGGCTAACTACACCGTTTGTGACAACTGAGTGGCCTTCGGTCATGGACTGTCATACTCTGTTACTTATTATTTATGCTTTTCAGTTGAATACTAAGATTGGGCTTGTTAGCCGTACAGGCTCTTCCAGAAAATAAGTAGACTCTTCAAGGTCTTGAAGAAAGTAGGAAGGATCCAGAACGGTAGCATGCTGCCATGGTTACTACCAATAAGAATGAGGCCATCATTTTCAGTGCGGGTGCTTATGCATGTTACACAGTTGCCCTCACGCAGAGGCGTTTTTAATTTGCGTTTTGTTGTTTCTCGATTCTCATTTTGAATAGCGATGTTCGACTCACAGATAGAGGATCCTGATAACTTTGAACAGTGCGTGGTATTTAATGAGTTTAAGCACTTCGACGAATTCTGTCAAATCCTTGATGAGATTGAGCCTGCGGTTTTGGACTTAAGAAAAGAGGAAAAACTTCTGGAAAAACTGACATGTACCTTCTAGATTTGGACTGATGGCAAATTCTTCAGTCATATTTAGTCTCTATCAGGAACAGCCTCATCTCCTGGATCCGTTTTTGCCTGAGATGTTAAGCAAGTGCATCCAGTTGGCTAACCAGTTCTCAACAAATCGAAATGGGCAGCATTTTGTCTTTAAAGTTATCCACCTGATGGCAAAAACCAGAGGTTACAAGAGTTTGGTTCGTCTCATGCCACATACGGTTGATGATCTTGAGCCTGTCTTTGATCTGTTAAACACTCAAGACTGCACCGACAAGCAGGTACTCTCTCTCTCTCCTACTTGTCCTCACCTTATCAGAATTGGCAAACACGATACGTGCTGCTTCTTTGGCTGTCTATCGTTGTCATGGTTCCTTTTGGACTTAGTCGACTGGAAAAGCCTGGGAAGCCACCCCTAATCGCAAGAATTTTGAAGGAAGCCAAACGGCAC